AAAGGGGATGTGGTCTAATCGGTGGTCTAGGTCCGGAAGCCTCTCCTCCAGGTGTCTTTCTGCTATCAGCCCTGGACGCTGCCACACATCCACTGCGGGGTAAGCCCGAGTGGGCCACGAATGCAGTAGGGCCAGTACCAGCACCACAGACACCAGGATGGCGAGCAACACGGTCTTTCTTAGGGAACGCATCCTAAAACCTGTCACAGACATGGGGGAGTATTAAGACTTTGGTAGGTGATGTAGTTTTTCCTTCTGTCCACACCTACCATACGACCATACCAACATAATCCATATTCCTTTTTCCGGTGTAAAACGTATGCAGTATCATAGGGCAGGGAGCGCTGTTGTTCTGAATATCAGCATTGTTGTGATTTGGACATATGTATGTCACTGCAGATAAGTAGAACAACAGCACAGTCTCCAGTGTGATTTCATACAACAGGTTTACACATAACAAATATTCAACAAAAGTATTATATTTTGTTTATTAAATCCCATACTTAATTTCATCAACCTGACTAGAACTTGACTGTTGCAAAACAGTGTGTCCACATGTTTCAGCAGACCAGCTACTTTGTACTGAGGAGAATCATAGTTTTCATGTTTTAACACAACCAGTGAAATAAGAGTCTATGACAGTTGCTTTAGGGGCATGTGTGACTGCTCAATCTAAACCATCTGCTGTAATGTTCATTAAAAGCAGTGCAGTGTTTTGTATAGTTTAAGTCCAAGTGCTGTTGTACTCTGTATCTGTACACATAGAATGCCCCTCTTCCAATCAGATTAGTTTGTCAGAACTCAGTGTTGTACATTTTGAAGTTAATCAAACGCTGTTTGAACAATTAGTGGTATGCAATGTTCTGTGTTATGTCTCAGAACATTAACACTTACCAGGCAAACAGAGAGAGTGAATTATAAAAAAAAAGAACAAGCATTAAGTATTGAACATTTCTGCAAGATTAACTGTTGAAGCCCTTCCATTAGCTTAGGCTGAACTATATAATCATTTTTTTGACAGACTTACAAAGTCTGTCCTGCAATCCATCAAGACTCCAGAGCTGGGGAAAAAGCTCTGGCTGTAAAAGCATTCATTCAATTAAGAGCCGAAGCGTAGATGGTATGATACATATTCATGGTGCACTTCATTTTCAGTCGTAAAATATTCTGAATGACAACAAGCAATCAGCATTGTGGCTCCTATTTCCTGAGTGTTCTGTCTGCTGAGTGCTCTGCTGCTTAACTATGTTTACTCTGGAAATCTCCCCACATTTAACAACAGCAGATTCACAGCAAGGAGGTTGTTTTCTTCTCTCTATCTGTCTTCGATCTTCCCTCTTTGTCACAGCAACAGCCTCTGAACGCATGTCTCTGAAAGTTTCCTACTACTACATAATAAGCTCTTTCTCCAACATTCAGAAGTGATGAGCAAAAATCTATTTCTGGTGTGTTTGTGTGACAAGAGCTGAGTATTTGTTCTGGGAATCTTTCTCAGAGAAATGCTCTGTCTCTTTCCTTCTGAAGCTAAACACAATGATCTCAAAGCACCAAACATCTACTGAAGTCTTTCTTGCTTTTTTGCTTCCTTTCTTGCTTGCTTGCCTGCTTGTTTAGGACTGCTGCTACTATGAATTGTCTCCAGAATCAACAGACATTGATCTTCTAATGTTTATTCAGCCACAATAGTTTCATAAAGTTTAATGCCTGAATAAAGCCTGAGATTATGGAATAAAACGGCTGTTTGTTTTGCTGTGACATAACGATTATGACTGGCTATTCAGGTTTATTCTATTTGATAACTTGTGCATACGGATAGAGCACTTCTCTAGTCTTCAGACAACTTAAAGCACTTTCTGCTCCGCATGTCACATTCTCCAATTTACCCAACATCCACACAGTAAGTGTCCATAAGTATTCACTAATCCCATTTGTAAACATTTACACGCCGTTGACGTAGCAGCACGCAATTTGGGGTTCAGTGTCTCGCAGGGAGGACACTTCAGCAAATGAGTCGGGATTGAACTCCGAACCTTTCTGTTGAGAAACAACCGAATCCACAACTGAGCCACTGCTGCCCCCACTTGTGTCAAATATTGTATGAAGTTCTCTGCAAATGCTGTTCGCTGGTAACTGCAACCAGCTCGAAAAAGGATGAGACTGTTTAATTCACTTTTCTTCTGTCAGCCCTACATGTATGATAAACTTTACAAGATATACTCAACTGCCTCTATCCAGTCAGTGAAAGGGCATTTTCTGAAGACACCTCCATCTCCAGAAACTGTGTAGATATTCACATAAATTAGTGAGGGCCTTCCCCATCTGGAAACAAGAAAAACAAAACATTGCAGGAATAAAATTGAAACACACAAGCTATAATCATTAAGAATATACTACAGAACTGTGCAAAGCCACTGTCATATAAAGACACCATCCATATGATGATATGATATGATGAGACCATGCAAGGAGCAGCTTGCATGGTCTCACATCCCCTTTGGGAAATCCTCTAAAGTTGGGGGCAGACACATTCAACGTTATGTAGTAAATTGGAAAAAATCAATAGGGGAGAGGGATATATAGGATCAGCAATAAGCAGCCAATCAGCAGAGCTGTTTTGGACTAAAGCACATCTCTCACAGGAGTGCACCTTTTTACTCCTGCTCTATCAGTGACGAAGGATACACCCAGATACATATCTTGTGTTTATTATAATACACAAGTTTATGGTATGTCCATACCCCCATAGATAGCCTTAACAATAATTCTAAGATGCTGTTCAGCCCTGCTACAAGTCAAATCTGCAGAAAATTACTAACAAAAAGAATAATGCAATGCTTAGTATCTTTAGCATTAGAGTAATGATAAACAATGTGATTTGACCTGTGTCTTGTTAAACTTACTAAATAAACCACTGTAGTGGCTCTGGCCTTTTTCCATTTTCATATGGCTTCAAAGATATGCATTTAGAATGATAATTAGGTGTATTATATTGTAAAACATGATGTGAGATTATCTAAATTGAAAATAAATGCTCATAGGCGTATCAGAATTAAACTGTATAGCTCAAGCTGTTTTCGTTTACCTACAAACAGGCCAATGAGGAGGTAAGGAGAGCTATGGACGGTATTTTATGGGTACAGCAGCTCCATGGGTCCCTCCCAAAGTGCGCGTTACAGATATGTTGCCTCTTTCAGATTAAATCGCCGCATTTTGGTTCTGCATCAGGGACTCCTCCTTACCGTCCATCATTCTCAAACGTTAGAATAATGTCACAGTAACGCATTCATTTGTCCAGCATTTCGGACCAGCGAGCATACATGACTGCAGATATGACACGATCTCTCAGACAGGCCTATTAGCCAACCTTGTCCTGAATAAGATTGCACAAAGCTTGAACATTCCTTAATTGCTATAACACGTCTGATCAAATCCAAAGATCATTACATCGAGAAAGGCTCTTTAATCGATAGTCCAGTGTCTCCTTTTCCATGCCCTTCTCCTTGTCTTCTCGATTTTATCCGGTAGAGTAGGCTATCCGTTAAATGTTCACCCAGAGAAAAGAAAACACCGAGAAAAAAAAAAAAAAAAGAAGGCAGGCGATACAGGCCTATTGTTAATACAATGAAATCACATGAAGGAGCTCACCTCAGTTTCAAAGACGCCCAGTGTAAAATGGTTCACCTCCCGTCTGCATGGAGGTCGCTCCCTCTTAATGCCTCTGGTCTTCAGTGGCTCTGCAAATGGGATTAGATGTGGAGAAAGGGAGCAGCGAGGAGACAAGTAAAGCGACCGCACATCGCAGCACTGCAGGCTGTGGACCCACGCTCCCCCTGCAGCAGAAGCAGCAGCAGCACAGCGGAGAGCGCACCGCACCTAAACGCAACGCACATCGGCCAGTCAGCGGAGCGGCCGCCTGATCACAGAGCTCAATGCGACATGTAACACATGATTACTGAATATTCATATCCAACAACTAGACGTAATCATAAACATTCTCAACAATAATATGTGTGTGTGTGTGTGTGTGTGTGTGTGTGTGTGTGTGTGTGTGCGTGCGTGTGTCATGGGCGGTTCTAGGTAGGGGCCAACGGGGCCAGTGCCCCTGTAACACTGAGCTTGGTCCCCCTGTGGCCACCCCCCCCCCCCCCTCATAACACATACACAGCATTTGACTCAACAACCGGACTCACAATATATTGAATACTTTTACTGAAACACATATAAATCATGGTATTAAAGGATGTGTGTTACTATTTGGCATGATATATATTTTTAAAAGCGATCACCTTTGTCTATTTTTCATCTGGGTTTAATGTTCCCCTCTGACAAAACAACTGGCCCCTCAGGAAAAGTGGTCTAGAACCGCCACTGGTGTGTGTGTGTGTGTGTGTGTGTGTGTGTGTGTGTGTGTGTGTGTGTGTGTGTGTGTGTGTGTGTGTGCGTGCGTGCGTGTGTGTGTGTGTGTGTGTGTGTGTGTGTGTGTCTGGGAACATGTGTGGGAATGTGTAAGTGCATGTTTGAAGGGAGAGTGTTTTTTGTTAGTCACTTTGACTCTGTTTCCACACTGACTATAATATGTACAAAATTAGCCTCTGAATATCAAACTGTTGGCGTTCAAATTTATGAACAATAAAGTGTATTTTCACACCAGTTAGGCTACATTTTATTTTATTGTCAGACTTGTATAATGTGAGTTTGACCAAATTTAACAAAAAAATTAACCACATCATACTAAATTGGCCAATTTGAGACGCCTCACCAACTGGTCAACGCATCTTCAGTCTTTTCACGATGTGTGAGTTTATTTTGTGGAAAGGTACACGCATACAGCTGACATGCGCGGTGTCTTATAAGGATTTATGATGTTGATATCAGTTACCGCCCATCCACTCTGTGACGGAATCAGAAACCAACATACCCCAAAACTAGAGGAAGAAAATAGCCAATGACAGAGAAGCTGTTCCCGTATCGACCAATCAGCTGCTACCATGTCAGGCTGTCTATGTTTTGTTGCTGTCAGACACAAATGGGGGTTACTGAAGACTGAGTCAATCATGGCTGCTTCCTTGGTACGGTGGCTAAAAAGATTGTGCGTTTTCTTGTTGACATGTCCCCTTTGTGTCCCGGCCTTCTTGAATTTAGAGGAGCTGAACGAGATGAAATATGGTATTCAAATTCTTCCCGATCCCGTCATCTTAGGCCAGGTGAGTGAGGGTGTTCGGGGGAAGCTAACTGTTAGCTTGGTAGCTAGAAAGTAAGCTTCTGTAACATAGCGATAAGTATCTGCTCTTAAATGTGACTGGAGCAAAGATAAGTCGGTATCTTAGCTTTATGTCAAACGTAATTTAAAACGTACTATATGTTTTCAAATCACGTAATGAAGGGTTGATGGGAAAGTGACTTACGCAGCAGTCACTGTTGACAGCTGTCACACAACTAAACTCCTCACCTTCACCTGTGCTACTTGCATATTCTTTATATTGTTTATGGTGATGACCGACCACACATTGATTCTCAAAACCAGGCTTTCAATTAGCTTTAAACAATCTAGCACTCTGATCAATTGGACATTGTTACACTGAAATATGCTGTAGTGGTCTTGACTGTGTCTCTCTTTCAGACCAAGACAGAGGAGGTTATGATGGTTTCCAATAAGTACAAGCAGCTGTACGAGTGTCGACTTCCAGCCATGGCTGTCCGCTTTCATCAGGATCCTGCATCTGAGCCTGAATCACCAGGGTACAACGGGCCTGATATCCCAGATCTACTAAGTCCAATGCACAGTAACCAGTGTCTGGTGAAGGTTAGTTCTCAACAGCCTATCAGAGTGATGAATTCATTACACGCCTATTGGGTAGGGTTGGGGGTTATTATAATTTGTGTTGCTTTTGAAATGTTTTTCCTGTGAGTCATTTCAAAATGACTACTAAACATTCTCTCTAGTCCAGAATTCAGCAAAATGGGGAACTGAAAGTTTATTGAGAGTCATTTCTCAAGTTGAGAAACCTAAGTTACCAGCATTACACCTTCTCTGATACAGACATTTTGTGTAACAGAAAACACGCTCTAAGCCATTCCAAGACTGAGCTGACCTCTTATCAGAAACAAATGTTGATAATGGTCACTCACCTTGTGACCGTTGTGCAGCTCTCCACGAAGTTCAAGCCCATATGAAAGAGGTGTCTAATATTTAGAAATGACGTGTCCTACAATTCTACAATTCACTCAGCAGATGCTTTTATCCAAAGCGACGTACATCAGAGAGTAGGTACAAAACAAGCAAGGATCTAGAAAAAAGGGAACAATGTCAGTGTAGTGGTTTCTTCGGTCTTCTTAGTAAATCTTTCTGTTCTTAAACTTAGTTCTTTCTTAACCACTCTATAGTGACGACATTACACTGTTTTACGCGTTGAGTTGGCTTCACACATGTTCCCATGTGTCCACGGTAAAACTACCGTGTTGCTCCGCCGTCACTCGTTTATTTTACTTAGACAGCGTAACACATAACAATACACTTCACTTCCTTTCTCCTGATCACGACTACGGAAGTCTTACAGAATCACAACAAACCTTCAAAATAAAATAGGAATAATCTCAGTAAATATTCCCAAGATAAACACAAACATATCATCTGCTATGCTCTAGCAAATCATAATTCAAAACAATAATAATCAAACTTATTAATGCAAAAATGGCACTTACAGTCAGTAAGAGCAAACGATCAGCTTTGCTGTCCGATTGTACACACAGGTGCTGACAGGAAGTGACCAGAGGCAAAGCACAACATTGACGGCAGTTCTTGAGAGCTCTAATCAGTATAGAAACCATCTTATAAGTCATCGTTATCAAACAAAAACCATCGTCATTACCATCATCATCATCAATAATAGGAGACCATCATCATTAAGTTAGTAGGTATTCATGAAAAAGCTGGGTCTTTAGCTTTTTCTTAAAGGTACAGAGGGACTCTGCAGATCGAATGGAGTGTTCCCTTGGACCTTCATGTAAGCGCTGACACATACTACACTGGTATGCTGTAAGTACTCTGTACTTTTAGAGGCATTATGTTGTACACAGGGGGCTGTGATCTAAAGTGTAACTGATCATGTTTTTGCCTGGTTCAGCTCAGATCTTTTTAAGAGACAGTTTTATGTCAGCCTCGGTGCTCGTGTGTCAGAGAAACTTGGTTTTAATTACAGTATCCCTCAAGAAAGCATTCTTGGACCTATTTTATTTTCACTATACATGCTTCCACTTGGAAACATCATAACATACTACAACATCAATCATCATTTTTATGCCGACCACAGTCTATTATATATTTCCGTCTCCCCCTCTCATTGCCTGTCTCTCGGATGTTAATGTATGGATGAGCAAGAGCTTTTTAAAACTTAACAAGGAATCTTCTGGGAAAAGTAAAGAGTTGGTGTCTAACAATAAAATGCCCAATGTATCAACCTTATGTGGCTATTGTTTATTGCCTTAACCTCTTACTAAGTGGTATTTGATGTGAGATTAGCTGCATTAAGATCAATTCACCTTAATAATCTCCGAAGGGAAGACATGTAGTATCATTGTTTAAGGAACCCAGAGCAGCCTCTAGTCTTGTTTCTGCTCTGAGATAGTAGCAGACATGATCTAAATACTGGTGTTTAATAATCAGAAATAAGTGAAAGTCAATGGTTACAAATAGTGATAGTCAGCTTTACTTGTTCAGAAACAAAATGACTTGTCTACAATGTTTTTTTGAGATAGTGGGTCATTTTAGGATGACCTGTGATATTGTTTTGACTTTATACACATAGCCATGAAATGTTTTAGACAATAACTGTTTCAATAATGTTTTCTGTCGGTGCTTCCTGCAGACGAAGGACTGGTGGACTTATGAATTCTGCCATGGTCAGCACATCAGACAGTACCACCTTGAAGGTGGGAGAGTGCCTTCATGCTTTTTAACCTGAAGTATTTATGACAATCACTCTGACACAGAAGCTGTGTTTGACACATGTTGTCTTCTTTTTAGACACCGAGATCAAAGGAGACATACTCTTCCTAGGTTATTACGAATCTGAATTTGATTGGAACAATGAAACAGCAAAGGTAAAGTGGTTTGGATTTTTGTGGTCTGTGTGATTTTCCCGATTTAACTACGAGTGATGATGTTTTGCACTAAAGCTCATAAATGCTTTATTTAAACAACAGCCGTGTCTTCTTCAACTCCAGTTAGTTGTGTCAACTGCTCATGACTTCAAACATGGCCAGATTATGACCGCCATATTTACTTAATGGAGATTTACAAGTCATTAAGCTTTGGTTGCATTGTGTTCTTAAGTAGGCACTAGATAAATATTTACAGCAATTAACTTCTGTAACCACACACAGAGTATTAGAGGAACACTGAAATATGTTTGTCAAACCTGACCTGAAACTCTTTAATAATGACGTGCAGATTATAAAACTAACACAATCTTCAGAACTTCAAAATTATAAATGTTACAGTGAATTAGATTCTGTGATCAGATTTTTTTCCACCTGCACAAAAATGTGATATATCTTTTTTTTTTAAATAAATCAAATTCCCACTTACTTAAAACTGGGCCTCCTTGTCTGAGTATGTTCAATCAATTTCTGTTCTTTTTATTTTGCAGGCGTCCAAGCAGCACAGACTGAAGCGCTACCACAGTCAGTCCTATGTGAACGGCTCAAAGTGCGACCTCAATGGAAATCCAAGAGAGACTGAAGTCCGGGTGAGACATTTGAACATAGGATGTGTTTGTATTCTGTGCTGCCTGTTTTGATTTGTCTGGTTTTCCTGTTTTGTTATTCCAAACAGAATCAGTGTAAATACCATGTTTTCCCAACGTCATCTGCCTGAACACACCGAGACAACTTTTCTGTGTTTGTTTCCAGTTTGTGTGTGAAGAAGGCGCGAGTGACTACATTGTCCGTGTTGATGAGCCTCAGTCATGCCGCTACGTTCTGACCGTTCACACCGGTCGCACCTGCCAGCATCCATTCCTAAAGCCACCATCCACTGCCAAGCCGCAAGGGATTGTCTGCCAGCCAGCGCTAAGTGCCCAACAGTACATGGACTACGTCAAGGCTCAAGTCTGTGAGTTGACAAAAAGTGAAGGTCACCATGACGCAGTTTTGGAGAGGATGAAACTTCATTACTTCAATGTTGTTCCTCTTGAGAAAGGACATGATATTGCTAGAGTTTAAAAGTATGGCAGTGATATTAGGATTATAAAGACAGTAAATAATACAGTACATAATATTATTGAAAAGCTGTGTGATATGACCTCTTCTGTCTAATAGAAAAATAAATGAAAATGTGTTATGTTTCTTCTTCTTCTTCTTCTTTTTCTGTTTTGGTCCCAGCGGACACAAAGCGTAAAGTGGAGCAGATCTCGGAGGAGCTGAGGAGTCTTGATGAGATGCTGGCTGCTAATGAAGGGACAGATGGAGCGGTGGAAGTGACAACAGAAGAAACATCACCTTCAGCCACTGATATCTTCAATGGGTCCGAAAAAGAAGGTGAATTGTTCACTCCTAAGAGCAGAATGGCATTCAGAGAATTGTACTAAGTTGTCATGGCACTTAATCAAATATCATCATGCATGCTGTGCCTTTTTTTTTTTTTTAAACAGAAACCACTGATGTCTTTGAGGATGCTGGGTCAGAGGAAGGAGAAGATTCTGAGTTCTGGGAGGGAGTCACCAAGCCAGGGAGTTCAAAAACCACAGCATCTCAGCAGAAGGATCAGGTGTGACCTGAAACCAGTTTGAATCACATAAGCTACTGCTATCCTTTCCAAATGTCAAAATACGCATTATTTGAGGCACAGGAGTTTTATATGTCAGAAGAATTGTTGTTACACCAAACACTAGAGGGTGTAGTAGGTCTACAGTTTCTCTTCTAACTTAAGAACTCTAACCTGCTCTCTCCCTCCTACAGGCACCAGATGAAGACTATAACTCAATTACAGACAATGAGGTCATAGAAGACGGTGAGGAAGGTATGACTATAGGCTGTATAAAACATACACACATAATATAAAACATTGACAGAACTTTAGAGTCTAGACTCGCTCATGTCTGGGCAGTTAAGTTTCATGATTTGCAAATTCAACAGTTTTAAGTCCATATGGGGTACTAAGTGATATATTACCAAACTTTTCGGCTTACGTGTTGTCGTTCACTGTTGTACTAGCTTCTTTTCTCTGCAAATTTATGTCTTTCAGTTGAAAAATTCAACTTTAAAATCATCACTGACCCGGCGGACCTGATGAAATTTGTCCAACATCTGAAAGAGAGTAACAGGAAGGTAAATACTCGTCATGATTGCTACGTGTGATACTTTTTTTGTGCACTTGGTATATATATAATTCAGCATTTTTTTTCTCTCTCCAGAAAGCAGAAAACCAAGCTAAAATTCAAGGAGAGAAAGCAACAAGCAATAGGGAACCGAAGAAGCTGGGCGAGGAAGGGAAGAATGAAGATGACGGCCTGCTGCAGGAGTTTGACGAGGAGATGACTGACCTCTCCGTGCCCTCAGAAAAGATTGAAGAAATAAAGGAGGAAATGCAGAAGGAGTTTGACAACATCATTAATGAGGTCGCCATCAAGAGATCGTTAATTTTAAAAGGCTATGAGGCATATCTGACACAATGAAATATAGTTGTGTAACATTTTCTGATGCTTCTCTCTGTGCTTTAGGCCCAGCAGGAATTAGAGACAGAAGGTCTGAAAGGAGAGTTTGATCGCACTCAGGCCACACAGACACTGGAGACGACCCTAGACAAGCTGCTCGATCAATTAGAGGAGAAAGACGTCCAGGACACGGAGCAGCAAACACCGGGGGTTCAGACAGGAAGCGACCCGGCCAGAGGAAGTCCCAGTTTGGCTCCGAAGCAACCAGGTAACTGGGCAGACTGTCTCTACCACTCTCCGTGGCCATGCTCATATGTGTTCACTCTGTGCCGCCTCCATCATCCTCATTTTCCGTCCATTGGCAGAGTCCTCGTTTGTCTTTACATCTTTAATCCTAGAAAAGATTCACACGAGTTAATCCACAGAAATGTCGTCAGATTCATACTTTGTACTTTTCCAGTTAGTCAGAGGCCTCTCTCCTGCTGCTATTAATGTATCTGTGGGTAATATGAAAGTAATTCAATTAAAATAGCTGAAATCAGTTTCAATAATCTCTATAAGTCTATGATACTGCACAAATGTAAGATGTATTAGATGACACATTCTTGGCTCCTGCCTCCTCCGTCTTGTGGCCCTGCTTACGGGTTTTGAGGTGAACTTTGTTGTTTGTCCCTCTTTTGTCTCGTCACCCCAGACCAAGCGGCTGACGACCATGTTAAGATCAAAATTACTAAGTATAAGACGGGCAGCAGCCCTGATGGGGAGGTGAAAGTTCAGGAGATGGGCGAAGGAGATCCCCAGTGGCAGCACATAAAGGACGTGGTTAAAGAACAGCTAGAGAAAGCAGGACTGAAGGCAGAAGGTACGAGGGGGGAGTGCCCAAAACACTCATGGCGTTTTCTCTCTTCCATCTTGAACCTATTCCTCCTCTCATCTTTGTCAAAAGCATACTACTGTCAGATTTAGAGTTTGAAGGGTTTAGCTGTTCTCAAGCAAGTTTAATGCCAATAGTACTGATGATTGCAAACATTCTTCATCCTGCAAGCAATTAATGCAAAGCTTTTATAACCAATCCAAAATGTATTTAGATAAAATGAGTCTCCAGACAGTAAACTAGTCCCTCATTATTTTTATGAACATAATTGCGAAAAGATCATGGTAACACTAAGTCAAAAACCAACAATCTCAGACAGCAGTTAAGCAGACAAAGGGACACACAATGTGTGTAATCCATGTGTGTTCTTTCTTTTTCATTCACTTTTATGTTTGTTCCATTCTTCACGGGTTACTTTGTTGGTGAAACGTGTTTCTTGTTTACTCTGGGAGACAAAGAAGTATACATCTTGTTAAACTGGAAAGCCTGTCTTGTTTCCTGTGTTTTCCCTTTAGGTAAAATCGAGGTAAAGATCTTGACACGAAAAAATGCAGAGGAGACAGGTGATCAGTGGCTGACAGAGGAAGATACAAAGTCCTTCAGAGAGCTCCTCATAAATCTGCTGGTAATTAAAGCGTCACTTTTTATTGGGTCCACTTGGATCTTTTGACTGTGAGTTACACACACTTATACATTGTGTGTGTGTGTGTCTTCAGCAGTTTGCTTACTTAAAAAGCTCTTGTCTGTATATCTGCATTTACAAGTAGGACTGAATTACATGGATGCTTTGCATTCCTAATGCTTCCTTGTCTCTTGCTTAGCAACCTTTACTATGTTATGAGTGTGTATGTCAGTGATCTGTCATTGGGAGCTGCTACATACATGCAGTTAGCTTTATCAGCAAGTCAATTAAACAGTGATGAATTGTTTTTTTTTTTTACATATTGTTTTTTTCTACTTACTGTTACAGACTGGAGGCACAGAAGAAGTTTACAAAGAGCAAAAGAGGCAGCAGGAGTTGGAAAACAACTATAGGTTTGTGTGGGGAGAGTCTCAGGAGGAGTCACAGTCATCAAGCACCTCTGACTCAGACGATGTGGACGTATGAGCTCATTCAGTCATATTTTGAGATAATGAACTCCTGGGGAGACCAGCAGAGAGGGGGACTCTGAAGTGCAGCCTCAAAGTTGAAAGAAGAGCCACATGTTTAAATACTGCTATTAAACCAGGCAGAAAATATTCACTGGCCTGTTTGCACATTCAGAACATTTTTTGTTGTTGTCTTCAATAGGCAATATGTTTCTAGTTGGCACCAGTAATGGTGTATGTTGCACAATAAAGCCACAACATGTCAGCTTTACTTGTGCTGTTAATTTGAGTTTAATGCATTTCCCCGTTTTAATGGGATTCAGTCTGACAGGCTAGAAAAAGCCTAGTGATAAAGATATGTTTTTTTATACTGATATATTCTATACAGTTATGTCGGTATTTAATTTTATTTGAATATTTGCATCTACAGTGAGTAGTGCTGAAGTTTTCAGCAGCACTCTGTGTGCACAGTTGAACTATTTCTCAACGTTGTCTTAGAAAAAACAGTCCCCACCTTCCAAGTGACACACCTTGGCACTGACACATCTTGGCATTGTTCGTGGATGAGAGCTTTCAAATGCTATTTTTTTTTCTTGGCTGTGATTATATCTCTAAGAAAAACAAAGGACTTGCACTCAAAGGTTCATATTTCAGTTCTCAACTGTTCCAACACGCTCCATTTACAGCAAACAACAGCAACAACGATCCCATGAGTGTTCGTACACATGCTTTGCCACTTGATATACTTAGAGGTGTTTCATGGACGTATATCTAGAGATTGTTTTCCTGAATAAGAAGCTTCCCCTTGGGTTGCAATCTTTAAAATATTTTGTTTCAACAAGGACTGCTTATATTCAATTTAAATGCATTTTGCAGTGAAAGCTACAATGTCAGTCAGCTTCAGTGTATTACAAATGATAAATCCTCCAAAAACTTTTCTAAAGATCCTTCAGAAGTGTACTTTAAAGGGCTGAAAATGTAAATTTTGTTAATATTGTGGCTACAAGGAAGTTATTTTGTACATAATTGCTGCATAAATATCTTTTTTTTTTTCTATGATATGTTGTACATAAGCACAGTCTGAGTAGGGCTTGAGTTACCTGAGTAAACACATAAATATGTGACTGTTCTCTGTTGTACATGAAGCATCTTTTCAATGTGTGATTAAGTCATAAACAAACTTAAACAAACTGTAAGAATTTTTTAATTATTGATTTAGTTCATGCACAGCCAGTTCCCAGGACCTGGAGCTGAGATATACATAAGCAGGAAAAAGTCCAGCTGTGAGGATGTGTTTTTGGTTGTTTCTCCAATTAAATCAGTCATTCGTAAAGAATGATGATGCTTAACAGGCACATGATCAATTGCCAGTAAGTGACATTTTATGAGTAAGAAAGCTTTTTTCTACTTGACAGTTTTTTTTCTGTCATCAACATGGCAGATTTATTTTTCTGAATCGTTCACATAAAGTCTATCATAGCTACACAGGGAAACTACAGTACATCAAGAATTAGTGAGGTCTGAATTATCAGTTACTATGTAGGTCAACAACAATGGGCTCAGGCAACCAAAAGACAAGGCAAGTTTATATAGCACATTTCAGCTAAAAGGCCCACAGCAGGAAGGCTATCTTGACTTAGCCTCAATAACTGTATTTGGAACACAACTTTGGCATTACAGTCTGGCATTTTTTTGACAAATAAAAAAAGGAACCCAGCCTATAGGACTCTCCTTTCTGTGCCTTTACATAACCCAGCCGGTTTCCTTTTATGCGTTGATTAACACATGCAGGTGATTGTGTGAGACTGCGTGTAGCATTCATTACTTGATTTACTTAGCTGCTGGCATTGTGCTGTTAAAGCACCGATATTTCAGTTATGTATAGGTCAGGATAATTTAACAGATCAGATTACGTGTAGGCTACTGTATTCAAACATCAAAATTGCACTTTTGGATTTTTTTATTTTTCAAAAAAGGTGTGCCTTTTCTGTATTGCCACACCACACAGACTGACGTCGTCGAAAACGGACATCAGAGTTAATCAAATATTGATAGACGCAAACACGGCAACCGACAAAGCACACAAACTCACCACAGTGTTGACATAGTTTGACCTCTTAACGCTAAATAATCAGCAACAGTTTGAGGGATACAATAAAAACATTTGCTGATTTTTTAATATGATATATTCTGCAACACCTGAATATACAATGGCGGGCAAGACACTTTTCTAAATCCCGCTCTCACTGCGCTTTTCTTTTGAAATCTCTGACCGGAAGTTGTTATTATTTTTTTTCGTCAGGGGGGCGGAAGAAGTCAGCAGCTAGATAAGTTAGAAATAGTTTTTACAGCGTCGTTTTTATGTTGACATTTTAGTCTTAGTGTTACTCCATAAAGTGCTGTGCTTATTTCAGACACTCGACGTGTGTATTGTCTATCAGCTTCCTCTGTAATGGTTCATGTAGCTTTGTTGACGAGACAAGAAGGACCGCTAACTTGGCACAGGAGAGTCGACGGAATAACGGACTAGCCAGGAAGCTAACGCCTGTTGTCCCGACAACTAGTCTAGCTAAGAGCCATTAAGTAATGAAGACAGTACAGCTATTGTTTGTTGAATGTCCTTGCGTGTTTTAATTTGCTCTCTCAGTGTTTTAATACATCTTTTAATCGTAAGCGTCATTTAGTGTGGCTAGCTGAGCTAAGTTGTCGTCCAGCGGAGAAACTGGTTCCTCTTTAAAGATGATATTTTGCATTAACAATGAAGTAGCTGTGGAGTGAGGGCGCTGCGATGGTATCTGCAGGACCTGTGGTGAGTAAACCACTCCTTCAACTGGTTGAACAGCCCACACGTCATGTAACATAGTGACACTGACCAACACGGTGACTGGACGTGTAGTTTACAGCTCCGCACTGGGGACACTTTAATGACACTTTCCTGTATGCCGTTTATCCATTTCTCTTATTCAGCCGCTTTCGAGTTGAAACGACCAAACTGGAGACAACTGGTCCAGCATGAAGGCCCTCTTATTCCGATTCTCCTTCTACGCTGGTTTCGTGGTGGGAACCGTCACGCTGTACGTTTTCCTGCGGCAGGTGTGGTTTGAGGGGACTTTATCACGTCAGGGAACAAACCTGAACAAAGTCAGCGATGACCAAGAACAGCTCGAGGAAGAAATGAAGATATGGAAAAAGGAAAGGTCTGCCCTTTTCAATCTGGAGCATCCTCATCATACAGGTCCGACATATGGAAACAGTCTTTGAGAGGTTCACTTGAAATAATTCAGAGCATGTCTTAACTAGGTTTGTGTGTTGTAAGGATTAATGGGACCACTTCTTTCACCTGTTCTAGTAGGTCAAAGTTTCAGCTTCCCCGATTTCATACTCATCTTGAAACTAACAAAAAGGTTGTTCTAGATGTCTGATTTAATTTTGGGCTTTTTGCATTTATTGGATAGGACAGTGGATACAGTGGTAAAACAGGGAGAGAGAGTGGGTAATGAAATGCAGGAGAGGAGGTCTCAAACCTGGGCAGCATATTGATTAACATTGCCACTATGTATCAGTGTTTTTAATGCTTAGAATTTAATGGGAATATTCATGTTTGTATTTCCTAACCAGGAGAGGACGGCCGCATGGCTGATGAGCTGTACAAAAAGGTCCGTATTCTTTGCTGGGTGATGACTGGACCAAGCAACCTGGAGAAGAAGACTCGCCATGTGAAGTCTACTTGGAGTCGCCACTGTAATATTGTGATTTTCATGAGCTCTGTGGACGACCCCGACTTTCCCACGGTGGGCTTAGGCACAAAGGAGGGTCGGGATCAGTTGTACTGGAAAACAATCAAGGCATTCCATTATGTCTACGAGCATCACATCAACGAGGCAGATTGGTTCCTCAAGGCAGATGATGACACCTATGTTATTGTAGATAACCTGCGTTTAGTTCTCGCCAACCACACACCCGAGGAACCAGTTTACTTTGGCCGAAGATTTAAGCCCTACGTAAAGCAGGGCTACATGAGTGGTGGTGCAGGCTATGTGTTGAGCAAAGAAGCTCTGCGAAGATTTGTAGGAGGATTTAAAACCAATGTGTGCACTCACACTTCCTCTACAGAGGATCTTGAAATGGGACGGTGCATGGAGAAAGTTGGGGTGTTGGCTGGGGACTCCAGAGACAGTATGCAAAGGGAGACATTTCATCCATTTGTCCCTGAGCAGCACCTGACACATAAGTTCCCAAAGAGCTTCTGGTATTGGCGCTACTGCTACCATCCCATCTCAGAGGCAAGTTCAGTTAACATCATGTTTTCTTTTGATGAGGCCCTTAACTGGTATCAAGCAATATTGTAAATATATTCATCAGATAATGTTTGCTTTTTGTTAGCTCAAATTTACAAAACTTTTTTTTTTTTCAAGCTTTTTGTTAGTCTTCTTAATTTAGTCACAATCTAAACCACAGTGAAAGGTTAACTATAATGAAACACTGCTGCTGCTGCTACTGGATACTATTTGCTTTATGTTATGTACTCTCTCATAGGCATGAAACTGTGATAATTATTCAAACCCTTAGGAAGTGAAATAAAATGTGACCCTTTGAAATCTGTACTTTGTAGCATGACGTCATGTTCTGTTTTTTCCACTCTCAGGGTCCAAACTGCTGCTCGGACCTTTCAGTGTCATTCCACTATGTTGGTGCTTCACAAATGTATTTAATGGAGTACTACACCTATCACCTGCGTGCCTTTGGATACAATTACCGTTACCAGCCGCCTGCTCCACTTGGCTATGGTATTGAGAAATCTGTGGAAGTGAAAAACAGACCAGCTCCTCAGGAAAACAGGCGAGGAGATGGGGAGGATCAATCCAGGACTGACAAAAGACAGAATGCAGATCCCCCTCAAGCAGCTGGTAAAGACCCTCCTGCTGCTCCATCAGGGTAAATCAGAAGGTGTGTGAAGGAAACTTATTAGGTAGAGTGTTTAAATGTTTGTTAATTCATTTTGTTGTTCTTGGCTCATTGAGGGAAACATTTCACTCGTATTTCTCAGCTGAGGCACTCCTACTTTCTTCAGAATTCCTTCAGGACTTTAATTCTTGATTATCAGGTTTGTTTGGTTGAGCTATAAGACAGTGTCTTCTTTAAAAAGGTGGGAACTGCTTTCTGTTAGCTTCAGTCATTTGAAAATAAGTGAAGCACTTTTTTTTAAAGTATCAATTTTCTATAAGAACTAAGTTTTCTACAAATCTGACAAAATTGATTTAACAGGTTTTTAAAAAAGTATTTTTAAACTATGTCAAACCCACCAAACTTGATGGACCACCCTGCAAAGCGATGTAACTTTCTAGAGTTCTTTTGTTTCATTCACACATAAGCCCGTTTCACTCATGAACTCTTGACGTTTTCTATATTATTTCAGGACTTTCAGGAACTTTCTTTTCACTGATGAACCTTACAACAGGTGATTTTTTTTTTGTTGGCCTCGCTCACTCAACTCAAAAGACTCGGTTTGGTTTAGATAAGGGGGCGTCATGGAGTATCACATGCAGGAGGAAGAGGAGTGTTCCATTATGGTGACCTTTTCCATGGTAACATAACTACAACATGTATAAGTAATTTCAGCAAGCAAATACAACAGTGGAAAACAAAAATACAGGCAACTGAGGGGAGTAGCTTAGAGAATAAAGCCGTGAAACTCTGCTCAATGTTAATAATGTTTTTGTGACAGTGCAAAAAAAGCATTCAGATCTGTCGATTGTTTTGACTCATCACTCCCTGCCCACTCCGTTTCACTAAATGTTCCAGACAATCATCAAACCTGCTCACACAGACTATATACACATTTATTGCTACAGTGTTATTTTTCTAGTGGGCCGGAAGGATAAAGTGGAAGTGAATAGATTTAACCATTAGAGTTCATACATTTGCCCCACCTGGACAACATGGGGAAACTGTGAGGTGTGCATTGCTGTTGTGAAAGTGGATATGGACAACTATGTGCCTCATAGGACAATGAGACCCAGTTTATTTACATTGAGGTGATTAAAAACTGTTGGATTAAAACAGCCAAGATACAGCTGGATCTCTGATCTGGAGGTTTTTTTTTTCTGAATTAGATCATTCTAAGTCAAAGTGCCTCAACTTGTGCAATAAGTCAACACTTGTCATGTGCACACTGCTTAACCTGTTGGTCTGTCTCTGATCGCCTCTTCCAAACAGGATTAGTGCAGAGTTTAAAAGGAATATCCTGATGCAGGCTAGTGTCATTTCAAAGTCAATATACAGTTCAAGAATAAATCCTTCTTTATTTGTTGTTTGCTGTGATTGCTCTGAGATTTTTCTTTTTAAAATCAAGAATCTTATACGTAAGCAATCTTTTCAGATTTTTAGAGTTATACGTTTTCATTACCAGATTTCAGAACAAATTCAGCTGCAGATTATTTTTTCTTTTCTAATTCATCAACTAATAATTTCTCCATGAGTTAAAAATTGATAGAAATGTCTAAAAAAAACCCTGGTAGGACTTCCTAAAACCCAAATAACTAGTATTTCTAATACTAGTCAAACACTACGAGTTCACTGTTGCATTCGGCCATGTCCTATGTCATGTTTGGCTTCTGTTGCTTCCTGTCCTGAGTATTTGTCAAACTATTTGAACACACCAATTGAATTAATGTTTTTTTCTGAAAGTACAAAAAAAGCATTCAAATCTAACGATTGTTCTGACTCTAAATTTAAGACATGATCTTGCAGCCTTAAACCAGTGCCAGGAGAATAGGAAATGTTATTAATACATTTAACTTAACATTTATCCTTAAAACCTACAAGATCATTTAAGCCAAAGATTTTCTCAAGATGTGATACAGGATTTAAGACAGACCCATAACTGTTAGTCTACTTTCTATCTTGGCAATAATGAAGTGAATCTTTGTATCTCTCATTAGTCTCTCTGTTCTCCATCTTTTTGTTCATTTGAATATGCCTCTGTCATTAGTAGGGCTTATTAATTCCAGACTGTGGTGATAGATTTCTTGTCATGATGCAGGGGGCTTACCATTCAGTCCATTCTATGCAAGGCAGTATATTCCATTTCTTTTATCTAATTTTATCATGCTTTTTGTGAAGTCCAAGCAAAAGAATAAAAATCGCCTTGTTGGGGCGCTGATAGCCTATAGAGGTTGTGATGCGGGCCCCATGTGTGGAGGCGGTGGTCCTCAGGGCAGCGGCAGCTGGACTCGGCCCTGTGCTTTTAAGTGTTTTGAAACTAAATACAGTTTACAACACATCACAGTACTCCAGTGTTAGAGTATTTACTGACACACCCAGTAATAGGACACGTTTGTAATAAAACACAATCTCCTGGAAGTAAAGGCCCTGGCACACACACTTCACAGCTCCCTGCATCAGATGACTTTTAGCTTGTGCCTTCTGAACTGAGACTAAATGAGCCTCCTGCTACATGGATGACTTTGCACTGTGACTTCACCTTAATGAGATGGATGCTTTCAGATCAGCTTAAACTATACTGAACCCTTCCATGTTTTAAATCTTAGCTCTGGGACAGCCAGTGGATAGTGGGTTTGTGGTGTTTTTATTTTAATCAGAAGAAGAGATTTTCTGATATTTTATTTACTATCATGTTTGATTTTAGAAGAATGTGTGGGTCAGAGCTTTTTCTTTTGTTGCTATTATATTATGTATACTTAAACATTGTTGAAACCTACTTTGTAACCAAACAGAGAACTAATATTGTGAAAGATCTAGTAATTACCAAATACAAGAAACCAGCTTTAGACATCTGACAGGATTCAGTGGTTGAACGTTTTAGTTTGCAAATGACTGCTGATTCTTACAAGCTGCGCATAAAAGTTCTGAGGCCCAAAACTCCTAAAAGTGGTTTCTTATTCTAGAGATAAACACACCAAGTCCTCACAAGCCCATTCTAATTTTATTAAAGGGAAAGGTGTACAGTGTGTATTTATATTGAAGTATATTTATGTTCCTATCAATGTCAATTCAGTCAATACCCTTGAGTGTGTAAATGAGTTTGTGTGAGTATGTGAGCACACATTATTGGTGTGCAGCATTGTTTTCACTGAATGGTACTTTGATCACTATAAATAAAGTATTTTATTGTACATTTGTTTTAAATTTGTTTAACTGATATTGCATAGTTATGTCAGAACATTTTCAAGTGACCGTACAAAAGACTTTGTAAGTATTTATACATGGTTTAATATGGCTTCCATTTTTTCATTACATAACTTGAAACATATTTCTCTAGATGATATAACAGCTGTGATCATTTAATAAGATTGAAGGCCCGTGTCAAGGCTGTGCAGGCCCGACTACTCCAAAGCTCTTACTGCTCATCAGAGAAGAGAGGAGGAAGATCTGAGAAGTGATGTGGGAGAATACTGTAGCCTGTATGCTCTATATAAAGAGGATATAAAGCACTGGCATGTGTTCACTCTACTTCATCCTCTGAGCAGTCTGAGGGTACATCCCATCTGTGTAGTGCACAGATAATTACAAAAAAATCTGTGATTGATATTAGGCCTAGCTAAATGATAACATGAACTGATAAGCACCAAATACCTAGTAGCCCAATTCAACACAGTCATGATTATCAAAGTGGTGTTTTTCAACATTTAAAACAAATGTCAATCTGTTTTTTCAGTCAATAATACAAGAAAATGATCACAAATGCCCCTCATAAATACACCACTGCCTCAATATTTGCAAATGACATCAGTGACCACGGTGTAGTTGCAACTGTTAGGAATACTAAAATAGCTAAAACCAGGCCGTGCGTCATAGTTAAATGTTACATGAAACATTTCTCGGAACAGGGGTTCTTCCATGACTTATTTCACTTTGGTTGGGTAAAAATATATCTCTTTACGGATGTTGAGATTGCCTGGAACTTCTTTTATGAGGGTTTTAACAATATTGTGAATAAGCTCTTAAGAGCTACAGAGTCAAATGTCGGAGCAATGCATGGGTCACTCCGGATTTGTCTACTCTGCTACATGAGCGTAACCTTGCATAGGCATGAGCCAGAAAAACAAACCAAAACCCTGACTGGCTGATCTTCAGGCGATTGCGCAATGCATGAACAATGAAAATCAAAAAAGCCAAAGCCGAACATGTCCTTTCGCAAACCTCAAAAAATCAAAATAATCCATCCAAATTTTGGAACTCTATCAGATCTTTATCTGAAAACAATAAAATCTTAGAGCTTCCTCCATGCATTGTCACTGGCTCCCAAACAATCTGTGACAGACTGAAATGCTTGGTTGTTTTAGTGAACATTTTACAGCTTCTGGTTATTTATTTGAGTCCTTGAACCCCACTCAATTGACGTCAAATTCTGTAGTGTCTGAAGTTCCATCAAGTCAGTCTTTTAATTTGATTCCTATCACAGTATCTGATGTACCCAAAGCCCTTAGGCTCCTGGACACAACAAAATCTGCAGGCCATGATAAATTGGAACCATAATTTTGAAAGTGTCCCGCAGGGGACAGTTCTCTCCCCTGTTCTCTTCACCCTGTATAACTCAGACTTCAGTTACAACTCTGGGAGCTGCCACATGCAGAAGTTCTCAGATGACACAGCCATCGTGGGGTGTGTGTCTAAGGGGAGCGAACAGGAGTACAGGCAGGTCATCATGGACTTTGTCGACTGGAGTGAGCTCAACCACCTTCAGCTCAACGCCAGCAAGACAAAGGAGATGGTGATTGACTTCCGCAGGACTCACCCCAGACTGCACCGGTGAACATCCAGGGCTTGGACACTGAGATGGTGGAGACATACAAATACCTGGGTGTTCACCTCAACAATAAACTGGACTGGTCACACAACACAGACGTCCTGTACAAGAAAGTCCAAAGTCGACTTCACCTGCTGAGGCGACTGAGGTCCTTTGGAGTGTGCAGGACTCTGATACAGACTTTTTATGACACTGTGGTGGCATCTGCACTTTTCTATGCAGTGGTCTGCTGGAGAGGAGGGAGCACAGAGAGAGACAGGAAGAGACTGAACAGACTGGTCAGGAGGGCCAGTTCTGTCTTGGACTGTCCTCTGGACTCTGTAGAGGAGGTGGGTGAGAGGAGGATGTTAGTGAAGCTGACATCCATCATGGACAACCCCTCTCACCCCCTGCATGACACTGTGGGGGCTCTGAGCAGCTCCTTCAGCAGCAGACTCAGACACCCACCCTGCAAGACTGAGCGCTACCGCAGGTCGCTCATATCATCTGCAGTCAGACTGTTCAACAGTACTACCACCTGACTCTAATAATGTTCACAATCACAATCAGTAATTCTACACACTGTGTGTGTCTTTTAATAAGAACTGTCCTCTGTCTTTCCACAAGTGAAAGTGTTTATAGTATATGCCTAGTCTCTATTATCATTTCTTGCTTTATTTAATTAATGAAAATATATTTGTTTTTCAACTTTTTGCTATTTTTACTAATTATACTACTGTTTTTGAGCTGTTGTAACAAAGAAATTTACCCCAATGGGGGGATCAATAAAGTAAATCTTTAAAGTTAGCATTAGATTTTATTGCTACACCTCTAATGCACATTTTTAATCTCTCCCTAGCCACCAATATTATGTGTGTCGGACCAGCGTTTTACCTGTCCAATAGTGAAGGGAGAGAGAGGAAACAGGAGCCAAACATCACACATGTATCCCCGACCTGGTGTTGGTGTACACACACACACACACACACACACACACACACACACACACACACCACCTAGCCGATGCAATCAGGAGTAGGGGGACAAAAGGGAAATAAGCTAAATAAGTACATTTTGAATGAAAACAAATGTTGCCCAAACAATGCAAAAGATTTAAATAAGGCTGAATAAGGCTAAGGAAAACAAAAGAGGGAAAGGTAAATAAAACACCTAACAAGTGGCAAATCATCTAAAAAGAACGATATTACAGCATTAAATGCTGCGCTGCCACGTGCACAAACAAACAAAACAAAAATACAAGTTTAGGTCAGTGTACCTTTTACAATAAGATGTTGAGCTCAACCTCAAAGTTCAGTGCAGCCAACCCTCATCTGCCCGAAACAGGTCGAAAACAGGACCTGAGGCATGGCAAGATAATATATTCTTAATAATATTAATAATAATAATAATAACAATCTATATCTTATGTGTGACACGAATGCGCAATCTCACTGACTCGCCATGGCACGTTTCAAAAAGCATTGAGATTGAGCTTTATTGTTTCTTCTTGGGAGAGAGAATAGAGGCAGATATTCCTGTTCACAGAATTATCAACAGCAGTGTTGGACAAGTTGTAAATCTTCAACAACATACCATACTATCAGTCTCTTTAGTCCGGGCTCACAGATCGTAGAGGTGGCAGTAATTTAAAACCAAGCCAGCTGTTTGCTGGAGTGGCTCCACCTTGGGCTACTAATTAATGTGAGCTGCACCGCCTTCTTTATTTGCTCTATAACCACACCTTTAAATGCAGAGCTGGGTGGAGAGAGAGTCTCAATATGATAGACACTTTAAATAGGGAGTTACACATAACAGCTCTTACAAAGCCTGAAAGGAGGTACATTTGCTCACAGAGAATCTTGTGGATTATCAACATTAATTTTGATACTTTTTAATGCACTCTACACAACTTATTTACATTCAGTGACGACCTTGCCAACTGGCCACTGGGAGACTTTGGCTTGCTGCTGTCTGTCAGCCCGACTGAAGCTTGTTGTTGCTTTAGTTCTTGATGTAAGTGCACTCTGCTTTCACATCCACACTGATGATACAGATTAAACACACCTCATAACTCTTTGTTATTGAGCATTAATTTAACTTGTTTTATCATAAATTAATAATTTTCTTTGATAACTTCTGACTCCTTCCGTCCTGTGCCATGACCCACAAGTCGGGTTATGCCTATTCAAAATGCACATCTTCATCATTGTAAAGAATTTGAGATATGTAGTTCACATCTGATCATCATTAAATATTTCACATGACCTGAGATGCCACAATAGTTCTCAAGTCTGTCCAATGATATATAGTGGTCCACTGTATCAAAAACAGCACTAAGATCCAACAACAATAAACTGAAGTTGAGTCTGAGTCTACAGCCAATAACAAATAACTCACCACCTTTGTAAGTGCAGTTACTGTGAAGTGATTAACTCAAAATACCTGACTGCAGTGGCTCAAATAGATCACTTAAGAGAAATAATTTAAGAACTGATTTGCTGTCTAACAACTGATTTGACATTGTGGACTTTTGTGTGCATATAATAAAATGATAATGTGATTTCCTCGTTCTTAGTGATCTACAGTAAATGATTAAATATATATTAACTTTCCACATAAAGACAAACCCTAACGTCGCACTGAATTTAAATATTCATATACTGCAAGCTAACTCCGATACAATACATCAAATGGTAAAAATAGTGTATATTTTTTATATTATACATGGCCCATTTACAGTTTAAAATTAATTAAATCAAATATAATTAAGACTAAAACTTTTTAAGTCTAAATTTTACGCAAGCAATGTATCCATTCAATAACAGTTATCCCAACAGCTCTACTTATACAAGGGGCAAATAGTTGAATTATGACATTATAATTATTGTTTTTTATACCATCAAGATAGTTTGACCAGCATTTCCATTTGCTCTAACCACACCTTCAATTAAATGTCACACATGTAACATAGGCACAGTAATGGGATGTGTAGTCTACAGCTCCTCTCTGGGGCTCCTTCAATTAAACTCTTTTCTTCTGCGTTCTGTCTCTCCTGTCTTTTTCAGCTGCAGTCGAGTTGAAACGACCCACAGCGAGGCATCTGGTGCAGCATGAAAGCCCCCAAATACCAATTCTCCTTCTACGCTGGTTTCCTGGTGGGAACCATCACGCTGTATGTTTTCCTGCGGCAGGTGCGGTTTGAGAGCACTTCGTTATCACAGCATGGAACAAACCTGAACAAAGTCAGCGATGACCAAGAACAGCTCGAGAAAGAAATTAAGAAATGGAGAAAGGAAGGGTCTGCCCTTTTCAATCTGGAGCATCCTCATCATCCAGGTAAACCATATAGAAGCTGATCCTTATAGATGTTCACGTTTAATTCTTCAGAGTATAACCTTTACTAGGTTTGTGTGTTGTTGTAAGGATTCAGTGTGACCACATCTTTCACCAAATTTTAATTACCACTAGATCAAAATTCGCCATTAGGAAACAGCCTTTTAGAGGTTCAAGTTGAATAATTCAGAGCATGTTTTAACTAGGTTTGTACGGAAGCACATTGCATTCACCAAATTAAAAAAAAAATAGACACATTCTTTTCTCATAATTACAAGGTGTCAAATTATTTTCTTTGGTGAATGCAATGTGCTTCTGTAGGTTTGTGTGTTGTAAGGATTCAGTGTGACCACTTTCCCCAAATGTTTATCTTAAAGGTAAACTCTTGGACACTGTGTAACTTGCAAACAAACATTTATTGACACTGTTTCGGTATAGACCTTCATCGGGCAAAAAGTTGAAGGTCTATACTGAAAAGATTGAAAAAACTGCCAAAAGCCCTAATAGGCAATTCTAAATTCAGTTCAGGGGAAAATAAAGATCCCAATAGACAAACCAAGATCAAAACAAAAAATCAGAAACGATGCAGATGATCAAACGCTCAAAAGATTTTTGTGTGTGTGTGCTCTCAACCGATAAGCTGATGTTTATTTGATTATTAATTTGATGATTCAGAGCATAATTATGATGCAGGCCTGTAGCCACTTGCTGTTTCAGATGACATGCCCATTTTGACAACATTTTTGCCTGATGAAGGTCTAGTACCGAAACTTTGCCAATAAATGTTTGTTTGCCAGTTAGATAATGTGCTGAAGTTTACCTTTAACTTTTTGATGGACACGTTGCTCTCCTATGCACCTGTTTTCCCAAATCAGGAGAGGACGGCCGCATGGCTGATGAGCTGTACAAAAAGGTCCGTATTCTTTGCTGGGTGATGACTGCACCAAAGAACCTGGAGAAGAAGACTCGCCATGTGAAGTCTACTTGGAGTCGCCACTGTAATATTGTGATTTTCATGAGTTCTGTGGAAGACCCCGATTTTCCCACGGTGGGCTTAGGCACGAAGGAGGGTCGGGATCAGTTGTACTGGAAAACAATCAAGGCATTCCATTATGTCTACGAGCATCACATCAACGAGGCAGATTGGTTCCTCAAGGCAGATGACGACACCTATGTTATTGTAGATAACCTGCGTTTAGTTCTCGCCAACCACACACCCGAGGAACCAGTTTACTTTGGCCGAAGATTTAAGCCCTACGTAAAGCAGGGCTACATGAGTGGTGGTGCAGGCTATGTGTTGAGCAAAGAAGCTCTGCGAAGATTTGTAGGAGGATTTAAAACCAATGTGTGCACTCACGCTTCCTCTACAGAGGATGTTGAAATGGGACGGTGCATGGAGAAAGTTGGGGTGTTGGCTGGGGACTCCAGAGACAGTATGCAAAGGGAGAGATTTCATCCATTTGTCCCTGAGCAGCACCTGACACATAAGTTACCAAAGAGCTTCTGGTATTGGAGCTACTGCTACCACCCCATCTCAGAGGCAAGTTCAGTTAACATTATGTTTCTTTTGATGAGGCCCTTAACTGGTATCAAGCAATATTGTAAATATATTCATCAGATAATGTTTGCTTTTTGTTAGCTCAAATTTACAAAACTTTATTTTTTTTCAAGCTTTTTGTTAGTCTTCTTAATTTAGTCACAATCTAAACCACAGTGAAAGGTTAACTATAATGAAACACTGCTGCTGCTACTACTGGATACTATTTGCTTTATGTTATGTACTCTCTCATAGGCATGAAACTGTGATAATTATTCAAACCCTTAGGGAGTGAAATAAAATGTGACCCTTTGAAGTCTGTACTTTGTAGCATGACGTCATGTTCTGTTTTTTCCACCCTCAGGGTCCAAACTGCTGCTCGGACCTTTCAGTGTCATTCCACTATGTTGGTGCTTCACAAATGTATTTAATGGAGTACTACACCTATCACCTGCGTGCCTTTGGATACAATTACCGTTACCAGCCGCCTGCTCCACTTGGCTATGGTATTGAGAAATCTGTGGAAGTGAAAAACAGGCCAGCTCCTCAGGAAAACAGGCGAGGAGATGGGGAGGATCAATCCAGGACTGAAAAAAGACAGAATGCAGATCCCCCTCAAGCAGCTGGTAAAGACCCTCCTGCTGCTCCATCAGGGTAAATCAGAAGGTGTGTGAAGGAAACTTATTAGGTAGAGTGTTTAAATGTTTGTTAATTCATTTTGTTGTTCTTGGCTCATTGAGGGAAACATTTCACTCGTATTTCTCAGCTGAGGCACTCCTACTTTTACTAAAGAATTCCTTCAGGACTTTAATTCTTGATTATCAGGTTTGTTTGGTTTAGCTATAAGACAGTGTCTTCTTTAAAAAGGTGGGAACTGCTTTCTGTTAGCTTCAGTCATTTGAAAATAAGTGAAGCACTTTTTTTTAAAGTATCAATTTTCTATAAGAACTAAGTTTTCTACAAATCTGACAAAATTGATTTAACAGGTTTTTAAAAAAGTATTTTTAAACTATGTCAAACCCACCAAACTTGATGGACCACTCTGTAAAGCGATGTAACTTGCTAGAGTTCTTTTGTTTCATTCACACATAAGCCTGTTTCACTCATGAACTCTTGACGTTTTCTATATTATTTCAGGACTTTCAGGAACTTTCTTTTCACTGATGAACCTTACAACAGGTGATTTTTTTTGTTGGCCTCGCTCACTCAACTCAAAAGACTCGGTTTGGTTTAGATAAGGGGGCGTCATGGAGTATCACATGCAGGAGGAAGAGGAGTGTTCCATAATGGTGACCTTTTCCATGGTAACATAACTACAACATGTATAAGTAATTTCAGCAAGCAAATACGACAGTGGAAAACAAAAATACAGACAACTGAGGGGAGTAGCTTAGAGAATAAAGCCGTGAAACTCTGCTCAATGTTAATAATGTTTTTGTGACAGTGCAAAAAAAGCATTCAGATCTGTCGATTGTTTTGACTCATCACTCCCTGCCCACTCCGTTTCACTAAATGTTCCAGACAATCATCAAACCTGCTCACACAGACTATATACACATTTATTGCTACAGTGTTATTTTACTAGTGGGCCGGAAGGATAAAGTGGAAGTGAATAGATTTAACCATTAGAGTTCATACATTTGCCCCACCTGGACAACATGGGGAAACTGTGAGGTGTGCATTGCTGTTGTGAAAGTGGATATGGACAACTATGTGCCTCATAGGACAATGAGACCCAGTTTATTTACATTGAGGTGATTAAAAACTGTTGGATTAAAACAGCCAAGATACAGCTGGATCTCTGATCTGGAGGTTTTTTTTTCTGAATTAGATCATTCTAAGTCAAAGTGCCTCAACTTGTGCAATAAGTCAACACTTGTCATGTGCACACTGCTTAACCTGTTGGTCTGTCTCTGATCGCCTCTTCCAAACAGGATTAGTGCAGAGTTTAAAAGGAATATCCTGATGCAGGCTAGTGTCATTTCAAAGTCAATATACAGTTCAAGAATAAATCCTTCTTTATTTGTTGTTTGCTGTGATTGCTCTGAGATTTTTTTTCTTCCTAGCCACCAATATTATCCCGCAAATATGGAAATCTGCCTTTGTACTTCCGCTCCTTAAAGGGGGTGACCCCACTATTTTAAATAACTATAGGCCCATCTCAAAACTCTGTCCTGGCCAAGGTCCAATGTACTGCTCAGCACCCACTCCAGACCAAGCTCTCTCACAGTTACAACTTGCTTTTAACACTGTTCAACAAAATTTGACTTAAAACTTGTTTTAAACGCAGACAAAATCAAAGTCATGATGTTCTCTAAGGCAAAAATGAAACCATCAAACCTCCTTTCAATTTCCACCTCTCAAGGGATGCAAATCGAGTCTGTTTCGAGTTACAGATATCTTGACATTTTAATTGATGTGTCTCTTTCTTTTACTCCTCACATTCAGTAGCTGGTAAAAAGGGTAAAGCTGAAACTGGGATTCTACTTTAGAATAAAATCCTGCCTTTCTTTTGAGTCTAAGAAGAGGCTGGTTGCTTCCACTTTTATGTCTGTGTTGGACTACACTGATGTTTTATACATGCACGCCTCCTCACAAAGCTTACATGCTCTGGACACTGTGTATCATGGAGCTCTGAGGTTCATCACTAATTTTAAATCCCTCACTCATCACTGTTGTATGAACGTGTTGGATGGACTTCTTTGACCCTACGTAGACTTAAACATTGGCATACTTTAATCTACAAGTCTATTTTAGGTCTGCATCCTTCGTACCTTCTGTCCTTCATCAGTCAGAAGAATACAGGGTCTTATAATCTTTGATCTCAAGATCTTTTCTTGCTGTCTGTTCCAAAAGTCAGAACTGAACTGGGGAAAAAGGCCTTTCAGTTTGCTGCTCCCTTTAATTGGAACGAATTACAAAAAGAGCTGAAACGTAATGAACTTCTCTCACAGGAGGCTTTTAAGAGGAAGTTAAATGACTTTGAGGCGGATACATCTGGCTGTAGATGTTCTTCCTGATGTATTCGTGGATGATATTTGACAAACATTTGCTGTTTGGATTTGTTATGATTTGTAGGACTCTTGCCTTAGGTAATCTTTCAGGTTCCTGTTTTTTCTGAATGCTGCAATGATCCTGTGGTCTCATAAAATTTTGTTTTCTCCTAAGATGTTTTGGAAATTATAGTTAATCACTACGACCAAGTTAACAGCTGTTGAAGAGTATGCGGAGACAGAGGGCAAAATTGAGGAAATCAATTGGGGTTTTGTCTCCTGGAATGCGGGAATACCCTCTGGTGGCCAACACTGAGAACAGCGTTTTCGTGGCCTGTTTAAAGTCCTCTTTGTTGACACATATTTTATAAAATGTCAGCAACTGAGACTTTACCAGTCCAGCATAGGCGTGTTTAGGATGGTGGCTAGTTTTGTGGAGTAGAGCATTACTATATGTCTTCTTAAAAAAATACTTTAATATCCAAAGTGGTTAAAAAGTTCCCAACATCCTCTAGTGTGAGGCCAGATCCCCCATATGTCAACCAAATATCTAAAATAGGAGAGGTTTGACCTGAGGCTGCAGGGCAAACCCCCCTTAGGGTTAGGGTTAGGGGGTTAGGTTTCCTTTAAACCCATAGGAGGTGGCTTAACAGTCCAATAAGAGGATGCATTTGACAGAAAGAAAAGGACACAAGAGCTTAGCTTAATAAAACTATTTTATTTTTTACAATAATAAAACAGCAATTGATCGAATGTCGAAGTTGAAAACAAAAGAGACAATAATTTACCCTCAACAATATTTATATAAAACAGGAGAAATCTGCGCTACAATGATAAACTGGCTGACTTAATAATAAAACTGATTGTGGCGGACCAGCGTTTTACCTGTCCTGGTGTGTGTACACACACACACACACACACACACACACACACACACACACACACACACACACACACACACACACACACACACACACACACACACACACAGGAGTAGGGGGACAAAAGGGAAATAAGCTAAATAAGTACATTTTGAATGAAAACAAATGTTGCCCAAACAATGCAAAAGATTTAAACAAGGCTGAATAAGGCTAAGGAAAACAAAAGAGGGAAAGGTAAATAAAACACCTAACAAGTGGCAAATCATCTAAAAAGAACGATATTACAGCATTAAATGCTGCGCTGCCACGTGCACAAACAAACAAAACAAAAATACAAGTTTAGATCAGTGTACCTTTTACAATAACATGTTGAGCTCAACCTCAAAGTTCAGTGCAGCCAACCCTCATCTGCCCGAAACAGGTCGAAAACAGGACCTGAGGCATGGCAAGATAATATATTCTTTATAATAATTATAATAATAATAATAACAGTCTATATCTTATGTGTGACACGAATGCGCAATCTCACTGACTCGCCACGGCACGTTTCAAAAAGCATTGCACCAAAACCACAATGAAAAGCAGCAACAACAAAGGAAGGGGAAAAAACAGAAAAAGCTACCGCATATGAGAACCATAACTGGCTGTTTATATACCGGGATGAATAAGTGGCATTGCGGAAGCAGGAGGCGCTGGTGTGGACCTGGAGCTACGGTGGTTAAAAGGGGGCATTTGACTACCTGCTACATTCAACTTTTATGGTTAAGACTGGATGGTTGAAGGGAAGTGGTACAAATCTAGCCTTTGTCCATGAAGTTCTCCTTGATTCAGATCTCAATTATGAGATTGAGCTTTATTGTTTTTTCTTGGGAGAGAGAATAGAGGCAGATATTCCTGTTCACAGAATTATCAACAGCAGTGTTGGACAAGTTGTAAATCAGAACTAATTACAGTTAGTAGTTATATAAAAAAGTAACTGAGTAACTAATTAGTTACTGCATTAAAATTGTTACTAGATACTTGAATGTGCACATTATTTAAAAAATAAACTTTAAACTTTTTTGATAAACTTTATTGATCCCCCATGGGGGAATTTCTTTTTGTTACAACAGCTCAAGAAACAGGAATATAATTATCAAAAAAAAGTGTTGCTTTGGCAGTGTGAGAAGAAGCAACTAACACATTTAGTATAACATGGTAGCCATTTCAATACGTAGTTATTAGCTAATTAGTTCTCTGAAGACAACAGATTCAACAGTTGGTATGGGAAGCAAGTCTTCAACAACATACCATACTATCAGTCTCTTTAGTCCGGGCTCACAGTTCGCAGAGGTGGCAGTGATTTAAAACCAAGCCAGCTGTTTGCTGGAGTGGCTCCACCTTGGTCTGCTAATTATTGTGAGCTACACCGCCTTCTTTACTTGCTCTATAACCACACCTTAAATGCAGAGCTGGGTGGAGAGAGAGTCTCAAATGATAGACACTTTAAATAGGGAGTTACACATAACAGCTCTTACAAAGCCTGAAAGGAGGTACATTTGCTCACAGAGAATCTTGTGGATTATCAACATTAATTTTGATACTTTTTTAATGCACTCTACACAACTTATTTACATTCAGTGACGACCTTGCCAACTGGCCACTGGGAGACTTTGGCTTGCTGCTGTCTGTCTGTCTGTCTGTCTGTCTTTCTTTTGTGTGTGTGTGTGTGTGTGTCCTAGCTGTAGGCTCACCAACAGTGTCAGCTGCACCTTGGCCCGGTGCACTCTTGTCTGCTGGTTTCCCTCATTCCCCCTCAGCCCGACTGAAGCTTGTTGTTGCTTTAGTTCTTGATGTAAGTGCACTCTGCTTTCACATACATCCACACTGATGATACAGATTAAACACACCTCATAACTCTTTGTTATTGAGCATTAATTTAACTTGTTTTATCATAAATTAATAATTTTCTTTGATAACTTCTGACTCCTTCCGTCCTGTGCCATGACCCACAAGTCGGGTTATGCCTATTCAAAATGCACATCTTCATCATTGTAAAGAATTTGAGATATGTAGTTCACATCTGATGCACATCTGCAATCATTAAATATGACCTGAGATGCCACAATAGTTCTCAAGTCTGTCCAATGATATATAGTGGTCCACTGTATCTGTATATAATTATTGTTTTTTATACCATCAAGATAGTTTGACTAGCGTTTCCATTTGCTCTAACCACACCTTCAATTAAATGTCACACATGTAACATAGGCACAGTAATGGGATGTGTAGTCTACAGCTCCTCTCTGGGGCTCCTTTAATTAAACTCTTTTCTTCTGCGTTCTGTCTCTCCTGTCTTTTTCAGCTGCAGTTGAGTTGAAACGACCCACAGCGAGGCATCTGGTGCAGCATGAAAGCCCCCAAATACCAATTCTCCTTCTACGCTGGTTTCCTGGTGGGAACCATCACGCTGTATGTTTTCCTGCAGCAGGTGCGGTTTGAGAGCACTTTGTTATCACAGCATGAAACAAACCTGAACAAAGTCAGCGATGACCAAGAACAGCTCGAGAAAGAAATTAAGAAATGGAGAAAGGAAAGGTCTGCCCTTTTCAATCTGGAGCATCCTCTTCATACAGGTTCGCCATTAGGAAACAGCCTTTTAGAGGTTCAAGTTGAATAATTCAGAGCATGTTTTAACTAGGTTTGTACGGAAGCACATTGCATTCACCAAATAAAAAAAAAAATAGACACATTCTTTTCTCATAATTACAAGGTGTCAAATTATTTTCTTTGGTGAATGCAATGTGCTTCTGTAGGTTTGTGTGTTGTAAGGATTCAGTGTGACCACTTTCCCCAAATGTTTATCTTAAAGGTAAACTCTTGGACACTGTGTAACTTGCAAACAAACATTTATTGACACTGTTTCGGTATAGACCTTCATCGGGCAAAAAGTTGAAGGTCTATACTGAAAAGATTGAAAAAACTGCCAAAAGCCCTAAATTCAGTTCAGGGGAAAATAAAGATCCCAATAGACAAACCAAGATCAAAACAAAAAATCAGAAACGATGCAACTGATCAAACGATCAAAAGATTTTTGTGTGTGTGTGCTCTCAATTAATTTGATGATTCAGAGCATAATTATGATGCAGGCCTGTAGCCACTTGCTGTTTCAGATGACATGCCCATTTTGACAACATTTTTGCCTGATGAAGGTCTAGTACCGAAACTTTGCCAATAAATGTTTGTTTGCCAGTTAGATAATGTGCTGAAGTTTACCTTTAACTTTTTGATGGACACGTTGCTCTCCTATGCACCTGTTTTCCCAAATCAGGAGAGGACGGCCGCATGGCTGATGAGCTGTACAAAAAGGTCCGTATTCTTTGCTGGGTGATGACTGCACCAAACAACCTGGAGGAGAAGACTCGCCATGTGAAGTCTACTTGGAGTCGCCACTGTAATATTGTGATTTTCATGAGCTCTGTGGACGACCCCGACTTTCCCACGGTGGGCTTAGGCACAAAGGAGGGTCGGGATCAGTTGTACTGGAAAACAATCAAGGCATTCCATTATGTCTACGAGCATCACATCAACGAGGCAGATTGGTTCCTCAAGGCAGATGACGACACCTATGTTATTGTAGATAACCTGCGTTTAGTTCTCGCCAACCACACACCCGAGGAACCAGTTTACTTTGGCCGAAGATTTAAGCCCTACGTAAAGCAGGGCTACATGAGTGGTGGTGCAGGCTATGTGTTGAGCAAAGAAGCTCTGCGAAGATTTGTAGGAGGATTTAAAACCAATGTGTGCACTCACACTTCCTCTACAGAGGATCTTGAAATGGGACGCTGCATGGAGAAAGTTGGGGTGTTGGCTGGGGACTCCAGAGACAGTATGCAAAGGGAGACATTTCATCCACTTCGCCCTGAGCAGCACCTGACACATAAGTTACCAAAGAGCTTCTGGTATTGGAGCTACTGCTACCACCCCATCTCAGAGGCAAGTTCAGTTAACATCATGTTTCTTTTGATGAGGCCCTTAACTGGTATCAAGCTTTTTGTTAGTCTTCTTAATTTAGTCACAATCTAAACCACAGTGAAAGGTTAACTATAATGAAACACTGCTGCTACTACTGGATACTATTTGCTTTATGTTATGTACTCTCTCATAGGCATGAAACTGTGATAATTATTCAAACCCTTAGGGAGTGAAATAAAATGTGACCCTTTGAAGTCTGTACTTTGTAGCATGACGTCATGTTCTGTTTTTTCCACCCTCAGGGTCCAAACTGCTGCTCGGACCTTTCAGTGTCATTCCACTATGTTGTTCCTTTACAAATGTATTTAATGGAGTACTACACCTATCACCTGCGTGCCTTTGGATACAGTTACCGTTACCAGCTGCCTGCTCCACTTGGCTATGGTATTGAGAAATCTGTGGAAGTGAAAAACAGACCAGCTCCTCAGAAAAACAGGCGAGGAGATGGGGAGGATCAATCCAGGACTGACAAAAGACAGAATGCAGATCCCCCTCAAGCAGCTGGTAAAGACCCTCCTGCTGCTCCATCAGGGTAAATCAGAAGGTGTGTGAAGGAAACTTATTAGGTAGAGTGTTTATGAATTAACAAACATTTAAACACTCTACCTAATAAGTTTCCTTCACACACCTTCTGAGTTTGTTAATTCATTTTGTTGTTCTTGGCTCATCGAGGGAAACATTTCACTCGTATTTCTCAGCTGAGGCACTCCTACTTTTACTAAAGAATTCCTTCAGGACTTTAATTCTTGATTATCAGGTTTGTTTGGTTTAGCTATAAGACAGTGTCTTTTAAAAAAGTGGGAACTGCTTTCTGTTAGCTTCAGTCATTTGAAAATAAGTGAAGCACTTTTTTTTAAAGTATCAATTTTCTATAAGAACTAAGTTTTCTACAAATCTGACAAAATTGATTTAACAGGTTTTTAAAAAAGTATTTTTAAACTATGTCAAACCCACCAAACTTGATGGACCACCCTGTAAAGCGATGTAACTTGCTAGAGTTCTTTTGTTTCATTCACACATAAGCCCGTTTCACTCATGAACTCTTGACGTTTTCTATATTATTTCAGGACTTTCAGGAACTTTCTTTTCACTGATGAACCTTACAACAGGTGATTTTTTTTGTTGGCCTCGCTCACTCAACTCAAAAGACTCGGTTTGGTTTAGATAAGGGGGCGTCGTGGAGTATCACATGCAGGAGGAAGAGGAGTGTTCCATTATGGTGACCTTTTCCATGGTAACATAACTACAACATGTATAAATGCAACAGTGGAAACAAAAGATACTGACAACTGAGGGGAGCAGCAAAGAAAATAAAGCAGTAAAACTCTGCTTAATGTTAATGTCTTCTTGAAAGTACAAAAAAAAGCATTCAGGTCTATCGATTGTTTTGACTCAAATTTCAGACATGATCTTGCAACCTTAAACCAGTGTCAGGAAAACCTACAAAATCAGTAAAGCTAAAGATTTTCTCAAGATGTGATACAGGATTTAAGACAGACCCATAACTGTTAGTCTACTTTCTATCTTAGCAATAATGAAGTGAATCTTTGTATCTCTCATTAGTCTCTCTGTTCTCCATCTTTTTGTTCATTTGAATATGCCTCTGATCATTAGTTAGGCTTCCAGACTGTGGTGATAGATTTCTTGTCATGATGCAGTGGGCTTACCATTCAGTCCATTCTATGGCAGTGTATTTTTTTTTTCTTAATCTAATTTCATCATACTTTTTGTGAAGTCCAAGCAAAAGAATAAAAATCGCCTTGTTGGGGCGCCGATAGCCTATAGAGGTTGTGATGCGGGCCCCATGTGTGGAGGCGGTGGTCCTCAGGGCAGCGGCCGTGGGGTTCGGGTCTGGACTCAGCCCTGTGCTGCATGTCATGTCTCCTCCCGGCTGTCCTATCCAATGAAGTGTTTTTAAACTAAATACAGTTTACAACACATCACAGTACTCCAGTGTTAGAGTATTTACTGACACACCCAGTAATAGGACACGTTTGTAATAAAACACAATCTCCTGGAAGTAAAGGCCCTGGCACACACACTTCACAGCTCCTTGCATCAGATGACTTTTAGCTTGTGCCTTCTGAACTGAGACTAAATGAGCCTCCTGCTACATGGATGACTTTGCACTGTGACTTCACCTTAAGGAGATGGATGCTTTCAGATCAGCTTAAACTATACTGAACCCTTCCATGTTTTAAATCTTAGCTCTGGGACAGCCAGTGGATGGTGGGTTTGTGGTGTTTTTATTTTAATCAGAAGAAGAGATTTTCTGATATTTTATTTACTATCATGTTTGATTTTAGAAGAATGTGTGGGTCAGAGCTTTTTCCTTTTGTTGCTATTATATTATGTATACTTAAACATTGTTGAAACCTACTTTGTAACCAAACAGAAACCTAATATTGTGAAAGATCTAGTAATTACCAAATACAAGAAACCAGCTTTAGACATCTGACAGGATTCAGTGGTTGAACGTTTTAGTTTGCAAATGACTGCTGATTCTTACAAGCTGCGCATAAAAGTTCTGAGGCCCAAAACTCCTAAAAGTGGTTTCTTATTCTAGAGATAAACACACCAAGTCCTCACAAGCCCATTCTAATTTTATTAAAGGGAAAGGTGTACAGTGTGTATTTATATTGAAGTATATTTATGTTCCTATCAATGTCAATTCAGTCAATACCCTTGAGTGTGTAAATGAGTTTGTGTGAGTATGTGAGCACACATTATTGGTGTGCAGCATTGTTTTCACTGAATGGTACTTTGATCACTATAAATAAAGTATTTTATTGTACATTTGTTTAACTGATATTGCATAGTTATGTCAGATCATTTTCAAGTGACCGTACAAAAGACTTTGTAAGTATTTATACATGGTTTAATATGGCTTCCGTTTTTTTCATTACATAACTTGAAACATATTTCTCTAGATGATATAATAGCTGTGATCATTTAATAAGATTACTCCAAAGCTCTTACTGCTCATCAGAGAAGAGAGGAGGAAGATCTGAGAAGTGATGTGGGAGAATACTGTAGCCTGTATGCTCTATATAAAGAGGATATAAAGCACTGACGTGTTCACTCTACTTTATCCTCTGAGCAGTCCGAGGGTACATCCCATCTGTGTAGTGCACAGATAATTACAAAAAAGCTGTGGTTGATATTAGGGCTTGCTTAATAACGAGCTGATAAGCACCAAATACCTAGTAGCCCAATTCAACACAGTCATGATTATCAAAGTGGTGTTTCTCAACATTTAAAACAAAACACACTTTTCAGTCAATCATACAAGAAAATACTACCACTGAGTCATTGAATCAATAAGGACACAGAGTTAATAATCAACACTGCACCCACTACTTCCTCCCCTGATGCATGATCAACTGGAAAGGGAGAGGGATTCAATGTTGATGGGACCGTGATCCAATGGAAGGCTCTATAAGCGCAGCCTCAGCTTAATACTAAAGTACCCCTTAGGGTTACGGTTAGACACCCAAACATTTAGGATTAAGTGCACTGTTCATCACTGTCCCTGGGCTACAGTCTATCTGGAGTTAGCCTCCAGTAGTTGAGATGAGATGAGATTCAACTTTATTGTCATTACACATATACAAGTATAGAGTAACGAAATGAGGTTTGGCATCTCACCAGAAGTGCAAATAAGCAGAAAGTGCAAGAGTCTGTGCTATGTACAGTAATTGAGTGCAAGAGTCTGTGCTATGTACAGTAATTCTGTGCTATGTACAGTAATTGCAAAATTTACAGATGTAGACAAAAAAAGTGAATTATTAGGTAAATCTGGATGGCTGGATTAATGGGATGCAATAAATATAAATAAATGCTATAAATAAGTAATGCTACAAAATAAGTGTGTTTTTAGGATTATAATATACAGATTAAGATGCAGTGAGCATGCTATACTAATAATATACAGAATAAGATGCAGTGAGCATGCTATACTAATAATATACAGATTAAGATGCAGTGAGCATGTTATACAAGTTTACAGATAATTTAAAGAATATGAACATACTATAATACAATAATACAGATGGATGAGAGATGTGTGTGTGTGACCAGGAGGAGTGGTGGGGGGATGATGGGTGTGAGGTGATATGGAGGGGAAAGGGGGGTCAGCAGGGTGCGGAGAGAGAGAGGGGAGAGAGAGAGAGAGAGACAGAGTTCAGAGTTCGGGGGGTAGAGTTCAGTAGAGAAACAGCTCTGGGGAAAAAGCTGTTCCTCAGTCTGCTGGTTCTGGTCCGGAGGCTTCTGAAGCGCCTGCCGGAGGGCAGGAGGGTAAACAGTCTGTGGGCAGGGTGGGAGGAGTCTTTAAGGATGCCATGAGCTCGTCGCAGACAGCGTGTTCTTTGGACATCCTCAATGGCAGGAAGTGGACACCTTGTGATGCGCTGGGCGGTTTTTACCACCCGCTGTAGCGCCTTACGGTCTGCGACAGAGCAGTTTCCGTACCAGACTGAGACACTGCTGGTCAGGATGCTCTCGATCACACAGCGGTAGAAGTTCATCAGTACAGCTGAAGACAGGTGGTGTCTCTTCAGTGTCCTCAGGAAAAAAAGAGTCGTTGATGAGCCTTCTTAACCAGACTGGAGGTGTTAGTGGACCAGGAGAGGTCCTCTGTGATGTGGGTCCCCAGGAACTTGAAGCTGGAGACACGTTCAACAGCCATCCCGTTGATGTGAATGGGGTTGTGCGTGCTTCCTCTTTCTCTCCTGAAGTCCACGATGAGCTCCTTCGTCTTGCTGGTGTTGAGGAGCAGGTTGTTGTCAGCACACCAGGCGGACAGATGCTGTACCTCCTCCCTGTAGGCCGTGTCATCGTTGTTGCTGATGAGGCCAATCACCGCTGTATCGTCCGCAAACTTGATGATGGTGTTGGATCCATGTACAGGTCTGCAGTCGTGGGTGAAGAGGGAGTAGAGGAATGGGCTCAGCACACAGCCCTGTGGTACGCCTGTGTTGAGTGTGATGGTGGTGGAGCAGGTGTGTCCTGACCTAACATACTGGGGTCTGTTGGTCAGAAAGTCCATTATCCAGTGACGGAGGGAGGAGTTGAAGCCCAGGTCTCCGAGTTTAGTGTTCAGCTTGGAGGGGATGACAGAGTTGAATGCTGAGCTAAAATCAACAAACAGCATTCGTGCGTATCTGTTGTTATTGTCCAGATGAGTGAGCACAGAGTGCAACGCAGTGGAGACTGCATCCTCTGTACTCCTATTGCTGCGGTAGGCAAACTGGAATGGGTCCAGTGTGGGTGGGAGGCAGTTTTTCAGGTGTGCTAGGACCAGCCCGCTCAAAGCACTTCATTATGATGGGTGTGAGTGCCACAGGGCGGTAGTCGTTCAGGCCTGTCGGGCTGGAGTGTTTCGGCACTGGGACAATGGAGGTGGCTTTGAAGCATGCTGGCACAGCTGCTTGGGCGAGGGACAGTAACGTGGCTTGTACAGATTGCTATCCATGGAGCACAAATTCTTCACTAATGGGAGTTGCACCTCCTTCCTCCTTGGGATGTTGTATCGGTGTTGGGTGAATCTGGTTAAAATGGTTGTAAAAATACTAACTATTTTTAATTAGTCTCAGTGAGTGTCTTGATTATAGCCCATTGAACCTCTAGTTGGTGTGAACATTCAAACACAGGGATCCAAAGCCACTTAACCATTTATTTGGTACAAGGTCAAGTAGAGGGGTGGACAGAAGATTTTCTGTACAATAAACAAAAGGAAATTCATTATGGTCCACACAAACTTCAGACATGAATTAATCGAAGAGGGTGAATTAAAAACTTACAATATTTATGCATCCATTAGGTCAAACAAGGAAATAGGGGCCTTTATCGAAATTCCTATTCTGTAAACATAAATTATTACACATTCTACATTTAAATAAGAGGTGTACTCAAAGTTTGAGCTGTCTTTAAGGTTGATACAAACATTTGTCGGCTTCAGTGTCCCTTTTTATTCTGTACATTGACCATACACGGGAATTAGTTGCTTTTGAACATAAACCTACAAAGCTTCATTAAAGATACATTTTATGTTACAGATTCACTCAAAAACTAAACAATTCATCGAACAAACAATTCAAAAAAACTTACTGGAGTGCAGTGGCAGCATGAGCAGACAAAGAGTTGAAGCGGCTACACCTGGCCCTTAAATCACCTGCAAACTCCTCCCTACACTGATTGACTCCACCTACTGCAGTCTCAGTGAAGCTTTAGGCTTGAGATTTTTAACAGCCGCCCCTTCAGATATTTAAAATTTGACCTTGTACTAAATCTCAATCTAATTGAAGTTTGACGTATTCAACTAGTATATGCTACTAGAATGAACTAGAATGCTGGGGTTCAGCATGTGAAAGAGTCCCAGATCACGTCGTCGTGTTGCATGTTTCAGATCTTCACTGAGCTGACTGCTTCAGCTACGAGTCTGCTGTTTTGTTTGGAAAGATATTTTAAAGAAAGCAGTGTCGATCTTGAATGAGTTTGTCCATCTTCAGAGCCACATGTACGGTCAGGGACGCAAAAAACGTCATTTTGCGTCATCTACTTAATGAATTTGCCAACTAAGGCACCATGTACTCTGTACACTTAGCGTTTTTTCCGGGCAGAAAAGCGTTGACTGTGCACTTGGGAGTGTCGGCATGAAGCATTTGTGCGCTGAAAAGAAAAGCGCTGGAGTTGTTGTCTTTCATCCAAATAGACACTGTCTGCCTTTTCTTGGTCAAGAAGGCACCAACTTCAAAATTTATTTAACATTTCTACTACATATATGACCCAATTTCAATACAGATTCATGTTTCAAAGGTTGAAGTATCCCTTTAACTATCTTTACCCTTAGAATCAGTATCAGAATCAGAATCGGGTTTTATTGCCAAGTACATTTACACATACTTCTTATACTGTAC